CTTTCTCAAGTTACACACATTCATGTATCTAAATGTGGGTAGCATTACGTGTACCCTGTTTTATGGGATTTGCAAAGGTCTGTGAAGAGTGTTTTCATTGCCAAGAACATCTTTAATTAAAGCTGAACAGGTTGGTAACAGATAGTAGCGAAAAGCGTCAATCGCGTTGACATTGAGATTTAGAACTCATCCGGTACTTGATGTCTGAAAGGGAATCGGTCAGAACAGCGGTGGTCCTGGATTCTAGGGTAGAGGCAGAGAGATAGAATTGGGTGTCATCAATATACATGTGGTAGAGGGCCCTGGGTTTATGAATGATGCCATGGGAGGGGCATATAAATGGTGAAGAACAAAGAAACAACAGAGCCCTGAGGATTGACATGAGACAATCCAAGGGCAGGAAGAAAAGCCATTAAAACAGATGAAGTGAAGACACTGGAAAGGAAATAGTGAAATAATTTTTCCTGTTCCTTGGTACAGCGCCTTTCACATCAGGATGTCCCAAAGCACTTCATAGGTTAAGTGCTGCAGGTTTTCGAGAGGAAAAACGGAATGTTTATTCATATATTTGAGGAATACAAATCACATAACGACACATTTAATAAAATTATTTATTGAATGAATGAGTTCCCTGGAGCATACTCACACACACACACACACACTCGCACAATTTGCAATTTCATCCCAGATTTGATATCCAGTTATTATTGATAACTTGACTACCTGCTAGTTTAGACGGTTGTGTTGACAGTAGCTTAATTTAGCACGTGCATCTACATGACTTGAGAGAATACAGTGCCGTTTTATCATCAATGGTCAGTGTTTCTGGCAGGTACTGAGTCGAGCCTTTATAGCTGCACCAGGATCTTGCAGAGTCTGGCAGGTAAGTCCTTTTTCACAGTTGCAGCGCTCATAGATCTCCAACACACGTGCCCCCTTTCGCCTGTGCTTTGTGCAGACTTCGTCCTCCTGAAGCAGTGGCTTACACATCTTGGACCACAGGTGCCGGCTACAGCAGAAGCCAGAAAGACAGTCTGATGACCTGAGACAAGGATCCCCTTCAAGTCCTGTGTCAAAATAAACTTCAAAACATCAACGTTAAATCACTTCTCTCCATAGAAGCTGCCTGACCTGCTGAGTATTCCCAGCCACTTCTGTTTTTATTTAAGATTTTGACCAGAGACCAGATTGACCAAGCTACATTGCCCAAGGGATATATATCTTTTAAGATAACAGCCTCAGAGTTTACTTAATGAGCTCCCTCAAATCAATAGTTTTCAAGGTCTCAATAAGCAAAATTAACATGTTTAATTCAAGGGTTGTAATTATTATCTTTCATCCTTTCCTCAACGTTTAGAACAATAATGTATTATTATATTCTGCTTTACTGCCCCGTCCTCTGAAATTCCATCCCAGAGTCCCTTTGCTTCACCCCTTCCTTTACCTCCTACAAGGTCCATCTCAAGACCTTCCTCTTTGATCGTGCCTTCGGTCATCTTCCCAGCCCCACAACCCTTGCCCCCACCCCTCTTGAATTCAACCCCCATGTTGGGTGCACACCCTCAACTATTGAGCAACTTGAGACGACTCCCAATAGGAAAAGAACTGCATAAATGCAATTTGTTATTGGTGTTCAAGCTTTACCAACTCAGTAAATGTACAGCTACCATTGCTTCTTTACATTATTTTGAGACATGCGCATCTGGTCAGTTACCTTTTGTGGCTGAGGGTGATGTGCGTGTGTTTGAACGGTTCTTATTTCCCAGTATAATGTCCAAATCATCATCAGCTTCGTATACCAGTCGCTGTGGAACCCTTTTGATGACCTTGCTTATCTGAAGTTCAATGATGCATATACCTGCAACGAGGGATGATATGTAAAACATTTTGTAAAATATTAACTGGACAGCAGGAGAGCATTAGGGACTTTTTTAAAAAATATATAGTATGTCAAATTATTTTTCTTATTTTCTACCCATTGGTGTATGTCTCTGTGATCCTGCTCCCAGTCTCCTCATGCTGGGGTGTGGTTCTATGGGCATCAGTTGGTGTGTGAGCCCAGACAGTGAATGTGATCCTTGCTGATTTTCTCCCTGCCTAACCCTGGGAAGGCCAGAGGCTATTTAGCCTCCCTATTCCTTCAAACACAGATTAGCTAGTTTTCTTTTAGGCAATAACATTATGGGATATAGTACATAGGTACTTCAGGACAGATGTGATTGCGACCGCCAGGAAGGTGGAACCTTGGTCTTTTTTNCTAGCTTTTCTTATGTGCCTCTATCAGCACAGACTGAGATTCGAACTGGTAAACTCCTGGTCTGTAAGCAACACCTCTATTCGCTCCAACATCAGTACTGTCTTTTAATCATTTGATAAAAAATCCAGTGCGTGTCAGAATATAAGGCATTTGCTATTGATAATGACCCAGTGTGTCACTGTCACGCCCAAGGTCTTCTTACGTACCTTCCAGTGACTAGAACTGGGCTGTGGTCAACTGAGAAAAAGAAGGAAGCCTCTTCATTAAATTAAAAATATTTCCTTCCCTGAGGGGAGGGCAGGGGAATGGGAAGCACAGTTTAAATTAGACAAGATGTTGCTGTCTTAATCAAGTAGTAATAAGATGTAAATCCCACTGATGACAGGTTCCATTACTATATAAGTGTTACATCATCACAGAAAAAGTTACCTTTTTTAATCTCTTGATTGTTTTCCCTGAGAGAAGAATTATCTTTCATAGATTTGCAATTTAGGAAAATAATTCCCTCCAGGCCAAAGATTAAATACGCCAAATACACGTACTAAACTAAAATTAATCATTTCCTCTGCCATGCCATTAGATATATAACTTCTTCGACACTAATCTGGTTACAGAGTGCGATACTCTGGGGTATAAACTACAGATTTTATTAAAGAGGCAGAGGCTTGAGCAAAAGGCGTTTTATCAAAAATGGTAACAGTATAAATTACAGCACAGCAGAAACATCATGTTATCTTTGCATCGTGTCAGTGTGATGAAAGTGGCATGTGGCTCTTTGACTGGTAAGTACGAAGAATGAATTGCATGTCGAAAGACGATACAGCAGTATTTGAAGGCTATGCCACACAAGCTCATTAGAAACTTGGTTTATCTTTGGTCATACAGGACACAGCAAAGGCGTAGCTGTCAAAGACACACATAGACTGCAGCACAGTGAAATGTAAACAAGTACTTCATCTTATAATGGGGTGAGGCTACTCGGCAGCCTGCCACCCACACATTGCAGACACCTGGCGGAGCTTTTCCCTGACCAGCCTGTTACCAAAATAATGGTGGCAAAAGACAGAAAAAGCCCAATTTGCCGGATTTCTTGTAACATATCTCAACTTCTGATAACGGCCCCACCAAATTATCAAACCTACAGGCTTTGTTTCGCCCACAAAATATACAGGCGCTATATCATAAGCAAGGATTATTATTATTATTTGTTGGTTGTGGGATGATTTCTAAACATGTGTGATATCAACATGTTTGTTCCGTGTGTTTGTCATCATTGGTCTGCGCTTGCGAACAAAAATCCCGAGAGCTTTAAAATGAAAAGTGGTGGCTGCACAAGGAGGGAGGGAGGGAGGGAGGGACACCTGCATCTGAGTGTTGTTCTATATAGAGAGGAGCAAAGCTGAAATCTTCTGACACCAGTAATAGCTGAGAGTTAGCAGATTGTAACTTCACTGCTTTGAAAGAATTAAGTTATGTTGTCCAATGACTCAGTCATTGTTGCTTTAGGAGATAATAGTAATAATAATCCTTGCATCTTATATAGAGCCTTATCACGTCTTCGAGACGTCTCAAAGCGCTTCACAGAATATACTGTAAAGTGAATCGACTGTATATTTTGTGGGCGAAACGCGGCAGCCAATTGCGCACAGCAGTGTCCCACAAACAGTCGCGGATTGAAGTGACCAATTTATTATTATTATTACTTATTTTGAAGAGATTATTACCCCCGGAAGAGTGATCCGCCGATAGACTAGATCCCACCCTGTTGAAAAAAAGCTGGATTAATAAAGTGAAAATTCAATTCAAAACAGATCGAGTGATAATGGGAATAGCACAAAACCTTGACCTTCCAGTATATGAGATCGTAAAATAGTGGAAAACAGTTTTGATTCAATATTTGACCAAGTTTCCAATCTCAGGCAGTGGGGAAGAGGTAAGCACTTTATCTATGGGTTGGGGGAGTGGGGGCGGGAGGGGAAGAAGTATTGGCTGACATCAATGTCCATGACACCATTTGGTAGCTGCTAAAAATGCCCTCAATGGATTAACTTAATAAAACAAATCCTTGTATTTGTTGCACATTAGGAGAATGTTTCACATGATTTACTGCAAAGTGTAGTAACTCTGTATTTTTATTGGCCGACATGGCAACCAATTTGTGCCCAGCAATAACCCACAAACAGGCATGAAGTTATAATTTCTAATGTGATTCATGCAAATAACTGGGATCTAATCCACAGTAAATCAGTGAGAAATAAGTTCTCTGTAAATTATCTTAAATATAACATGAGTCTGTATATCATAGTGGAATAATGATGCGTAAAAGTTTGAAATGAAATATAACAATTGATATTTGGTGGAATAATTACTCAATTTTATAAAAATACAAAAGTAAGAGAGTTTGATCTTTCTAGGAAAAAAATATGGTAATTTAGCCACCTTCCTGCGAAACACCCACTGTCAAACCTTACTGTGTTTTACAGCAGAATACTATTCCCAAAAATCATGCCTTTCACTCCTACCATCAATGCAGCGATTTCCCGAACAACACATCCTGTCTCTGTGGCAACGCTTATTTTGTGTCTTGCATGAGTGACAATTTTGTCTTCTTGGATGAGACCTGGAGCAGTAGGTCTCGGTTGCACAATCCCCATCAGCTGCACACGCCTAGGGAAGAACGAAATGTTACCCCTCTAAAGCAGCACAGACTCAGAGCAATAACAGTGTCTGTAGGCAATGCCCTAGAGAAAGAGATTATCAGTGTTTTTCATCCTTCCCAGGTTTCAGGATCATTCCGTCCCTCTGAAGCACTTATTTTCAAAGACTATATTGTCTGAAATTTCTTTCTCACAGGTATCTTCTTCTTACTTTTCAGCCAAATCACCTTACGAATTGTTTGTACTTGCATTACAAGCAAAGGAAAGAATTGTAGTTATCTGTTTTATTGCTCGGGGGGAGGTGGGGGTGAAACAAAGACATCCAGATAACCATTTGATAGTTTCGAATGCCTTTGTAACACTAATCTTTTAAACCCTAAACTGGGTTTTCGAAAACAAAGTTTCAAATGACAGTTTATTGTTGGAGTTTCTTTTGCAAAAAGTCTTCAGAGAAGCTGTGAAGTATCTGTTTGTTTTGATGTCTATTCTTAATGGTAGAATTGAGGGACAAGAGCAATTTCCAAGTGACATCATCAGAACAACTACTTTGAATAGTGTCATGATATCTTTAACGTTCACCTGAACATTCCTTGGTTTAATGTCTCCACTGAAGGATACCACCTCTGACAAGGCAGCAGTCCCTAACACTGTATAGTACAGCCTGGACTGTGCTGAAAGTCCTAATTTAAACGCTGCCGTGATTAGCTCACAAAATATACAGTACATTCTGTGAAGCGCTTTGAGACGTCTCGAGGACGTGATAAGGAGTTATATCAAATGCAAGGTTTATTATCTATTATTTAGATCTTAAATTTACAAACATCTGAATCCGAGGCGAGATTGCTACCAGTCGAACAAGGCTGATATATAATATGTAAAAACCTGCTCCAGATGAATAGCAGAAAGTCAATAGTTAATCGTATTTTTTGTTTTTCCAACAAAAAANTTACATAGTCAGATGAGCAATACTTTTTTTTGTTAATAAATGTTTTTTTCTGTTAATCCTAATCAGGTTTTTGTAACAGAGCCTTCTACGTTGGCAAGACGTCTCAAAGCACCTCACATAATTTGCTGTAAAGTGTAGTGACTGGATTTTGTAGAGGAACTTAGGGTAGCTAATTTGCCCAAAGGAATGTTCCACAAACAGCCATGAAATTTACAGAATCCCCTCTACATGTTTCCAAGTTAACAGAAGTATCTGGTAAAAACATTTTGAAACGTAAGTAGAGCTTTTCAACACAAGTGCTATGATACAATCTGTTGCAGTAATTGCTGATTGAATTAAGTTGTCTGATCTTTTATATAACTTGGAGACTTTAGGCTGTTTTCCCTGATTCTGTAATAGAGGCATTTCGAAGGAGGTGAGAAAAGTTTTTTCAGTGTTTGAAAAAAAATGGAAATTCTCCTTTCCAGATAAACATTGCATTATTCTAAACTCCGGAGAATGATCAGGCACCAGTTTATTTTAGTTGCAATTTAATCTAGGTTCATTCCTGCTGGAATGAATAGTTAGACTATTTCTTATAACAGACAGCCAGACTCACATGAAATAACATTACATAATTGCCAGGAGGAACGGTTGGACTGAATTACGAATTAATAACTGTCCCATCAAGCCAAATAATACTTGTCTGGGAAGATTTATCTCGAAAGCTGCATACCCACACAGATTTTTCATTGAATATCAAAACAAGCCCAGTTACTTATTCCAGCAACGCTCTCGCTTAAACCCAGACCCTGATTTCACTCTTTTAAGTCATAAGTCACAAAGCCGCATCTTCTCCGAAGATGCTGGGAAGAAAGAATTCAGCCATATGTTCAATGTTAAAAAAAAGCCTGTGATTTGATCGAAAAGGATTGCAGAGATACCTGGTTGTCAGCAGCGTGATTGTCACTGGTTTGCTCTTGGCTCTCTCTACCTTGGGATGATGAGGGCAGTCTCTCATTCTCTTGCTTCCTGATGGAGTTCCTGTTCACAGCCTTCCCCTCCGCAGCCCAGCCTGAGCTCAGCACCAAGGCGAGGAGCACATATAGCCCGACCTGCTTCCACTGCATCATCTTTCCGAAAAAAACGAATCGATAAGATTTGATCTCGGTTCCAAATTCTCAGCGTTAAAAAGTTTTTCTAAAAAGTTTTTTAAAAAAAAATATAACCCAATAGAATAGAATTGCACTTCGATCAAAGACTCGCTGCTCGCTTCCCAATATCCAGCTTCATTTCCAATCCAAGGGAACAAGTTCATCAACTAGGCAGGAATGAGATGTGCCATATTATGCTTACGTTTCAGTGTTTAGATAGGTTTAGGAGGTTTTTGTCCTGTTATATCCCTCCCACCTTCTGGCTCTAACCTACCTGTGTTACCTCCCCAGTAACTGTTGCTATTTGTATGGCCTGGAGACCTATTACAATGACAGATCAGCTTACGGATGTCTTGGCTTTAGCCTCCAACACGTCAATGCAGTTTTTTTTTTAACCTGCATCATTTTCCGTGCCTGTTGGAACCTGATTCATTCATGTGTCTTAAGCCTGAAGTCTGGTTAATCCTTTCATGGAATCATGTCAGTGAAAATGAGACAGTAATTCCCTCTTCATGACTCAGGCTACACCAATAATGTAGGAATGAGTTTACATTGTGTAATTAATAATAACAATAATCCTTACATTTCTTATAGCGCCTTATCATGTCTCAAAGAGCTGCACAGAATTGTCCATAAAATGCTGTTACTTGATGGGGTGAAATGCAAGTTGTTGCTTGTTTGAAGAAGACACTGATTCCCTTTCTGTTTCATTATTTTCCAATTTTCAAAGGGAGGGAAGGCAGAGGGAGAGAATAGAATGAAAGTAGCGAAGGGTGTGGGAGTAGAAGAGGGGACTTTTTGGGAGGAGAGGGCGGATCGGGTCAGGGCTGCAGCCAAAACATGCACATTGTGACCAGGAGCAAAGGGATCAGTGGGGCATGGCAGCCGTGGAGGCATGGAGGGGCCTAAAGGAGCAGGGGTATGAGAGAGGGTGTTGTAGTGCTCGAGATGGGCCTAAGACTTATATTTATTAAGTTAGACAAGAGCTCAGCCTCATAAATAATTAAGTGAGAGTTTTTCAGAAACATGGAGGCGAGGCGAGGACAAGAAGGGAAAGGAAGGAGATCACGGGGGGGAGAAAAAGAGAACGAAAAAATGCTTAGCCTGGATGTTTGAACAACGTGCATCCAGAAGTGACATCCCACAGCGATTTCAGCTATTTGTTCAGGCGGCGAGATCGTCTTGTGAATAGATCGGCAAGCTGGATGTCAATCGTCTGATATGTTTGGAAACAAGCCGCGATTCAGACTTGAGATTCCTCTTTCATTCATTTATGGATCAACAACAACAACTTGCATTTATAGAGGGCCCTTCACGAGGGGTAGCATCCAAGATCTTTGTGTTTTGAGAGACGATGGTGTCCACCTAAGCTCATGCTGTTCATTCCCCATCCCTCAGGGTGGTGTGTTACTATATATGTTACTGTTCTTCTAGCACCGAGTTCCCCCACACAGTGTGCCACCAAGATCATCCTTAGTGATTAGTTTTTTTTCCACGATTAGTTTGGGGGAAATGTTTCTATCGTTATTTGGGCTTTGAAACACTTTTAACTCCCATTTTCGCCAATGAACAGGATTCAAGGTCAGCTGAAGTGTGACTTAACTGCTGAGTGAAACTTCCTTTAGCTTAAGATTAACCCTTACTGCTGCAAGGGCAAATGCACGGGTAAAAATACAGTAATATTTAATTGTTAATCTCAGAGAGAGGCCACAAAGATGCAAGCTGGGAAAATGAACGTTTCCTGCAGAATTAGGGGGGCTCTTCTGACGCTGGGTTCAGGCAACTTGTTGGAGCTTCATCATGTTCTACGCCTAACTAGTTAGTGAATGCTCGATCCTGATATTGGATGCAAAGAGTGGAAGAGTTTCCATTTCCTCAGCAGTGATCCCTCTTATAATCTCACTCACTCAATAAAAATCGCAATATAAATGGAGGTTGGCTCAAGAATATTTCAAAGTGACATGACATGATTTGCAAATCCTTTCTCTGTTCCTAACTGGCGAATGCCCTGAGAATAACTCCCTTTCAGTGAGTAATCTGATTTTTAAAATGATCCATTAACAATGATTTGCCTTTAGATGGCGATCTTAGTACGTTAGATCACCCGTAATGGAGAGTTCAACTTAGTGATGTGTTTAATTTGCCATCAGAAAGAAGTCTTTGGCATTGGATACAACAACTAATAACAAACAAATTATATTTGCATAGCGCCTTTCACGTCAGGAGGATGTCCCAAGGCGTTGATTTGATACAAGGATACAACTGTTTTGGTATAATTTTTCTATTTAATAGTTTCCTGTGTTTCTTGCTCCACCTGTTTACTATGTCTTTGTTTCCCTTGCAGTTGTTTGGAGATTATTCCACTTATATCCTCTGAATGTTAAGGCCTTAGGTTGATCTGAGAATCAACCGGTCAAATAAAATGTGTGTAGACCTCATGTACAACATCCACACTGTCTTAAAATCATCAACTATCTATTCATTAAAGAATGTGTTTATAGAAACAGCCTGTTCTGCCAGTTTATTAGATAGTGGATCTCTTTTCATCGAGACGTCTCAAAGCTCTTCACAGAATATTCTGTAAAGTGTAGTGACTGTGTATTTTATGGGCGAAACGTCACCTCATAATAATAGGAGGCGACACTGACTTCTGTAATAATAATAATCCTTGCATTTCATGTAACGCTTTTCACGTCTTCTAGAGGTCCCAAAGCGCTTCACAGAACACACTGTAAAGTGAATTGACTGTATATTTGTGGGCGAACGCGGCAGCCAATTGCGCACAGCAATGTCCCACAAACAGTTGTAGATTGAAGATGACCAATCTATTATTTTTTGTTTTGGAGGGATTATTATTAGGCTCTGTGTGGAGTAAAGAAACTTGCCTCGCAGACCAAATAATACAAGTGAAGATCTGCACCCATCTCAGTCATTTGGATGAATTATTACGGCAATAAAATGGATATTATGGAGTCTTGTAGACTAGTGTTTAGAGCACTCGCCTCTGAAGCAAGAGGATCTGGGTTTGACAGGTCTGGATAAACCATGGGCGACTTTCCTTACTCCACACACATCGCGCGAGGCTCTGTTTACTGGGCAGTAAGTAGGAACCCGGTTGGTTGTTAGTCGACCTGCGGATCACTTTTCCGGGGGTAATAATCCCTGTAAAAAAAAAACTAGTAATTTGGTCACTCGATCCATGATTGTCAATTCCTCAATTCCAGATAATAATCCCTTCAAAACAAAAACAATAATAACTTGGTTATTTTCAATCCACGATGGTTTGTGGGACAGACACTGCTGTGCGCAATTGGCTGCCACATTTTGCCCACAAATATACGGTCAATTCACTTTACAGTCTATCCTGTGAAGCGCTTTGAGACGTCGAGAAGATGTGAAAAGCGCTATATCAAATGCAAGGCTTATTATTATTATCACCTTTTCTTCATGCCCCTTACTTTCCACCGCAACAACTTGCATTTATGTCGTGCCCTTCACATAGAATAACATCTCGGATCACTTTACAATGACAGGGCTCACACTGCAAGGGAAGAGGGGAAAGGGCAGATGGAGATGAGATGGTTGAAGATGCAGATCTTAAGATGGGACTTGGACAGATAGGGAGGGGGCGAGACGAAGGGATTGAGGGAGAGAGTTCCCAAAGGTTAGGGGCTGAGAATTGGAAAGCTCAGCCACAGATGGTGATGTGGTTAGGGCGGGGGTATGGAGTCTAGCCAGCAAGTTTGCATTAATCAATGGGAGGGAGCGAGCAGAGGAGTGGGGTAGGACGAGATTGGAAGATGCTCGGGCGTTAAGGAATTTGTAGGTGAGGGTGAGGACCTTGAAATCAATTCGCTGAGAGTCAATGGAGCCTGGTGAGGATGTACAGAGTTTAGTGAGAGTGAGGATTTGGGCGGCAGAATTTTAGATGAGTTGGATTTTATTGATGGTAGAGTAAGGAACACTAGTGAGGAGTGCTTTGGGAAAATCTAGATGAGAGTACCAAAGGGTTTTGCCACCCTTTAGAGCTAAGGATAATTGTGGGACAACACTGTGCGCAATTGATCTGCCGTGTTTGCTGACAAATACACACTCATTCCACTTCATAGTAAATCCTGTGAAGAGCTTTGAGGTGTCCTCCCGATATTCTCCGCTCAGAGGGCTCTGGCCTGCTTCATGTCCCCTGCCTTGTCCGCCGCACCATTGCCTTCAGCCTCTCTGACCCTACCTTCTGGAACTCCATCCAACAGTTCTTCTGCCTCACCCCCTCCCTTGCCTCCTTCAAGACCCTCCTCTTCGACCATGCCTTCGGTCATCCTCCTACCCTCCTCGCCCTCCACTCCTCCTATCCCAACATTCCCCACCCTCCAGCCCTCCTGATCCCAATCACCACCTCGGGTGCGGATTCCCGACTGTCCAGCATCTCGGGACGTCCTCCTGACGCGAAGGGCGCTATACATATGTAATTTGTTGTCGTTGATATGATCATAGGATTTACTGTGGAGTGATTGTGTATTTACAGGCGAAGGTGACAGCCAATTTGCACACAGTAATGTCCCCATTAAGCAGCCATACCTTGCAGGTAGACGAGTTCTCATTCTGCCTCATTGCTTCAGTGATTCACAACTCCAGCAACCTTGATACTCGTCCCATAAACCAATATATTCAAGGTCAAGGGACGATGTTGATCACAGCAGGCTTCACTAGTACTGCTGTTAGACTATTCATGCTTTCTTCCTACACTCACAAACATAACAGATCTTTCATAATCTTTCACAGCAGGGGCTGTCAAACGCTCGTTTTGAAATCAATGGAATTCGCTTCCGCAAATCTTGACAAAGTGCAATTATTTAAATTGGTTCAGCTGTATCTGGCTCCAAACGTGGCCCCATGTTGATTTGCAAACTGATGGTCACGTTGTGAGTGCTGTGAAAATGCTGTTCACAGGGTGTCCTTCTGTCGTGGTCAGTCTCCTATTTTGCTTAGAGCCTGAGTCTTTTGCTCATGTTTTTTTTTCAAATCGGTACAGTATTTGAAAAAGGTCAATGAAACGGAGGTATTTCCTACGAAAACCTCGAGTCTTGCTTGAGGGATTTCGGAACTTCAGAAAAACAGATGGCTTATTCAAACGAACAATTCCAATGTAAATGGTCTAGTTCTAATTCACTCTTGTTCTACGTAAGGTGTCAGCCTGCCTTAGCTGATTGCACTCTCAGACCTGAGTCAGAAGGTTGTGAGTTCAAGCCCCACGTTGGAAATCACATAGTCTATGCTGATATCCAGTCCAATGCTGGGTGTGTGCTGCAAGGTGAAAACCAAGGTCTTATCTGCCTGTCCAGGTGGACGTAAATACCCTATGGACTATTCAAAAAGAGAAGGGAGTTTCTCCCGGGTTCCTAGCCAACAATCCCTCAAATAAAATTGGTCACTTATTTCATGACCTGCTCGGGTGCCAGCTAACATTGCCAAGGGCTTTGAGACATCCTCCTGACGGGAAGGAGACCGTATACGTATAAATGATATTGTATTGTAAGGATGAGATCAAATGGGCCGAATGGCCAACCTTTTTTTATCTGAACCTCTCTTGCAGTCTTGTGATTCTCTTTAGTCGACTCAAAAGAAAGAAACCAGATAAATTGGTTGTTCACTTCACGATTGGTTCTCTACAGACGAGATGGACTTTGATCTTCTTTCGACTAGGAAATTCTTATGGTCTCATACGGATATGCACACACTCCTCGCCTCCTCAACCTGGGCTGCTAGGCCTTGTGTCAAGCACTCTCGGATCTGCTCCCGGCATAAAAACTGTGAGCTGTAAGTTCTATCCCCACAGAGGATAGTGTTCAAAAGCTTCGTCCTCGCCTTCAGAGCACTCCACGGTCTCACTCCTTCCTACCTGTGACCTGCTAATCGCCTGTCAACCTGTCCACTCCCTCCGCTCAACAGGTTCCAACTTGCTCCACTTCCCCCGTTCAGCCAACCCCACCATCGGCGGTCGGGTTTTCGCCTCCTTTGGAACTCCATCCCACATTCCCTTTGACTTGCTGTCTCCCTTGTCCCCTTGAAGGCACAACTCAAGACCCATCTCTTCGACCGTGCCTTCGGCCATCCTACCACCATTCCCCCTGCCCTCCACCCTCCCTTAACCAAATCCTCCCCCACTCCCCAGTTCGGGTTCGATTCCCTGATGCCCAGTGCCTTGGGACATCCTCCCGACGCAAAAGGCGCTGTGTAAAATGTAATTTGTTGCTGCTGCTGTTGTTGCTGCTGCTGTTGTTGCTGCTGCTGTTGGTGGTGTTGCTGGTGGTGGTGTTGCTGGTGGTGGTGTTGGTGGTGGTGCTGGTGTTGGTGGTATTGTTGTTGTTGGTGGTGTTGCTGGTGCTGGTGGTGGTGTTGTTGCTGGTGGTGTTGTTGCTGGTGGTGGTGTTGCTGGTGGTGGTGGTGTTGTTGTTGTCGGTGGTGGTGTTGTTGTTGTTGGTGGTGTTGTTGCTGGTGGTGGTGTTGCTGGTGGTGGTGTTGTTGCTGGTGGTGGTGTTGCTGGTGGTGTTGGTGGTGTTGTTGGTGGTGTTGTTGTTGTTGGTGGTGTTGTTGGTGGTGGTGGTGTTGTTGTTGTTGGTGGTGGTGTTGTTGTTGTTGGTGGTGTTGTTGCTGGTGGTGTTGTTGGTGGTGTTATTGTCGGTGGTGGTGGTGGACCCCACTCTGTCGATAGAAGCCGGTCGGTGCGTTGCCAGTTTAAGAGCGCTGGCGCAGTGATGGCGGGTGAGGCCGGGGTCGGGCCCGGGGTCGGGGTCGGGCCGGTGGTGGCGGTGGCGCTGCTGCTGTTATTGCTGTGTCCGGTCCTTGTCCTCCTCACCTCCCGGCTCCTGAGGCGGGGCGCGGGGGGGCGGGGCCGACTGCCCCCCGGGGCCTCGCGCTGGCCCCTGGTGCTGGGCCTGGCCCGCGGGCCCGCGCTGGCGCCGCACCTGCTGCTGACCGGCCTGGGCTCGGTGTACGGCAGCGTCTACAGCCTCGGGCTGGGCCTGGGCCTCGGGCTGGGCCTCGGGCTGGGCCCGCGCCCCAACCGGCCCCTCCTGCTGGTGCTCAACGGCTTCCAGGCCGTGAGGGACGCGCTGCGGCGCCAACCGGAGGTGTTCTCTGACAGACCGACCTTCCCGCTCATCACCATCATCACCCGCCGCAAAGGTCAGTCAGTGCGACCCCCCCCCACCCCCCCCCCGGGCTGGTCACTGCTCCCCCCCCCCCCCCCCCCCCCCCCCCCCCCCCCCCCCGGGCTGGTCACTGCTCCCCCCCCCCCCCCCGGGCTGGTCACTGCTCCCCCCCCCCCCCCCACCCCCGGGCTGGTCACTGCCCCCCCCCCCCCCCCCCGGGCTGGTCACTGCTCCCCCCCCCCCCCCCACCCCCCGGGCTGGTCACTGCTCCCCCCCCCCCCCCCCCGGGCTGGTCACTGCCCCCCCCCCCCCCCCCGGGCTGGTCACTGCTCCCCCCCCCCCCACCACCCCCCGGGCTGGTCACTGCTCCCCCCCCCCCCCCCCCGGGCTGGTCACTGCTCCCCCCCCCCCACCCCCCCGGGCTGGTCACTGCTCCCCCCCACCCCCCCCACCCCCCGGGCTGGTCACTGCTCTCCCCCCCCCCCCCACCCCCCGGGCTGGTCACTGCTCTCTCCCCCCCCCCCCCACCCCCCCGGGCTGGTCAGCGCTGTACGGCCCCGGCCCCCCCCAGGCTGGTCAGCGCTGTACGCCCCCCCCCCCCCCCCTGGGCTGGTCAGCGCTGTACGCCCCCCCCCCCCTGGGCTGGTCAGCGCTGTACGCCCCCCCCCCCCTGGGCTGGTCAGCGCTGTACGGCCCCCCCCCCCCCCCGGGCTGGTCAGCGCTGTACGCCCCCCCCCCCCCCCCCCTGGGCTGGTCAGCGCTGTACGCCCCCCCCCCCCCCCCCGGGCTGGTCAGTGTGGGAGGACCGTCACAGGACGGCCTGTGACGTGCCGGTCACCTCGGGGTCGGATGTCCTTCCAAGTCCAAAGGGGCTTTGGCAAATCGAGGTGCCCTGGAGGGAGGACTCCTCTTTACCGAATTCCGGAGAGTACGAGGCGCAGGTTGGCGGGAACCAAGTCTCGGGGACCCCAGAGTGTGCGTTGGGGGTAACTGCTGGAGTCTAACCAACTCACCCCACCGTGGCCTGCCATTGACGTAGCTTTCCCGCTGCTTGTCCAGCGAGGACCAAACCTTCCCGCTCGGGCTCCGGGTTGCGGGGTTAAGAGTGGGATGACTCCCTAACCCCCAGGGACTGGTTGGCCCTTCCGGGTCCTGCCGGTGAGCCGGGCCGGCGGTCGTGTGGTTTCGCAGCGCCCCGGAATACTGCGGACCCGGACCACCACGAGCGGGGTTTGAAGGTGGATAAAGTGGTGGGGGGCGAGACCGAGGCGCTGAGGCGGGGGTGTTCCGGAGACGACGGGAAGCTCAGCCACCCGTGGTGGCCCAGGGTGGGCTGCGCCAGCCGAGCAGAGGGATAGGCGGCTGATGTAAGGGGGAGCTGGGGGTGTGCTGGGATTTATATGGGAGGCTGAGGACCTTGAAATTGATCCATTCAGAGACCGGGAGCCAGTGGAGCCTTGGCAGAGATTGGGTCGTTGGATGTTGATGAGAGTTTGGTGTAGGTGAGGATAGGGCCACTGGAGCTGCTTTCAGCTTTGGTGGTGAATGTGAGACCTATATACAACAACAACAACAACAACAAGATTCCATTTATAGAGCGCCTTTCACGTCGGGAGGGCGTCCCAAGGCGCTGACCAGTGAGGAGTCCGTTTGGAAAAAAAAATCAAGATGACGAGTGAAAGACACGTGGATGGTAGGATCAGCGGGCAGCATTTGGTGTGAGAGAGGGGCAAAAGCGGGTGAGGCGGTGGAGGGAAACGGTCTTGGTCAGGGACCGAGGGAATCATTAGTAAAAGTGCATGTGCTTGAATGATAAGTGAAGATTATCGATGTGGAGAGAAGATAGGGTTGGGGAACCCTTAAATCTATGGAAGAGTTCAAAACAAACCTCAAGCTTGAGATCAAATGGACGACAATTTGTATTGCATATGGAGATATTTGCTTTGTTAGGGTTATAATAATTGCTGCCCATTGCTGAAATTGTGTGGGAACAGAGTGCAAAACCCAAACCGCATAAGGGTTTGTTTTTGCAACGCTCCAGTACTCGAGGCAAATCATGGCAAAGGTTTCAATACACATGACAATCATCAACAATCCAGGAACTGCTGTTTGCTTAGTTACAGTGGGATTACTATGTGGGCGGATCAAGCCCTAATCCATTTTTTTTAGACTCCACAAATGTGCCTTCAGATATGTTGGGTTTTTTTTAAAATTGTAATATAACGTACATCCTTTTTTTTTTCTGTACGCGAAATAAACAAAAATAGTTGAACGGCAGCTTTCATTGATGTGGTTGCACTCCAGCAATGACGTGAAGGGGAAGGAAAAAAGACTTGAGCCAAGCGCTTCAGATCGTGAACTAGGAATACTGTCATTTAAGGCTGGAATTCATAGGCATTAAATGGCAAAATGCTTACAATGTGCCCATGAAACTATTGTAATTTTTTTTTAAATTGTAATATAACATACATCCTTATTTTCCCCCAAACTGATTAAAGACCTGAAAATTGCCTCTGCCTATTATTATTATCATCCCCCCCCGTCCAAAAAAATCTCTTCCTCTAATGTACTGTTAATGTTCATCATTATGGGGATTTAAAAAAAAACGTTTTACTTATTTGTTGATTTATTTGGATCTACTTCATTTGCTGGTATATTTGGAGCTGCGAAAGAACAGAAGCATTCACTGAAACAAAGCCTCTTGTGTAAAAACAAATGAGGGGGGGAAAGAGAAAGTCCCCAAAAATAAAATGAAAAAAACACCAAAAGCCCATTCTCCAAAAATGGGCTTTTTTGCTGTGTAGAAAGAAAATCTCCAAACGCCTCCCCTTAAAAGACTTGACGGGGGTGGAAGTTCCCCTTCCAACCCCCCAGAAGTATTGAATGGTTCCTGATTGTAAAAAAAAATTAAATTGAAAAGCCCTATATATGCTGAGGGTAATTTTAAGAGCGATTGCAATCGATTTATTCTGAAACTAATTTCTGTAATGACTCGATACAATAGTGGTTTGGAGACATTTATTTCACACCGTTGTGGGGGCAGGTGGCAGTCATAACCAGAGCAGATGCTTCATCCAGCAGCCACACGCGTCATGAACTTTGTCACTTCTTAGCCCGATCGAAGGTGATGTGTCTGATAGAGGTCAACTTTCCCATTGCGGTCAGAACGCAAGTTGTTGCACATCAAAGCAGGGAGTCGCACCATTCCTGCAGAAATAGGAGTAGGCTATTCAGCCATTCAAGCCTGTTCCGTCATTCTATAGGATCATGGCTGATCTGTACCTCAAGTCCAGTTTCCCGCCCTGGCCCCATATCCCTTAATACCCTGACCTAACAAATATCTGTCTACTTCCATCTTGAAAACGTGAATGGATCCAACATCCACTGCATTTTGGGGAAGAGAGTTCCAGATTTTCGCTTCCCTTTGAGTGGAAAAACTGCCTCCGAAGGGAGGGAGGTAAGAGAATGCCTCAAAATGCCAGAACTAAAGGATTGTTGGATCATCTTAGAGTACAAGCATATCTATCTGGCAAAATGGTCTCCTATTTGGAGCATCATCAGGCCCTGCATTTGATGGAAGAAGAGGAATTTGTGCTCCCAGTTAATTGAGTTGCTAACCTCCACCATGGAATAGTACTGGGAGAAGGCGTGGCATCCCTGGGCTGGAGCTCAGCATGTGGGTTGTATAAAAAGTAATCTAAATGAGCTAAAAGTTTAAAGCATTACCTGTATGAGAAAACAAAGTATCGTTGTTCGGGACTTACTTGACTTTGGCAGGTTGGTCCATTACCGCAGCTAGAGATAACCACTTGGTCCCAACACATTCAGCCTGGTGTTTTTTTCCACGTGTTGCCTTATTACCCCACTAATGCTCACCGTGTCCTAACACTCTCTGTTTCCCCAGCAATAGTTCTTGGCTTATTGGCATGGGTTCTTTCTGCGGAAATGACACTGCAGGGTGGTAGCGTTACAGACGATGAGGTGTAGGGAGTTAATTAGAGTTGTACTACGCAGGAGTCTGAAGGTTGCTTAGTCGGATATTTTATATCCAGGAATTGATGATTTAACCAAGTGTATGACCTCAAGAGCTGGACATCTCTATCCTACTGTTCGCACTCTATATAGCATAATTTATTTGAAGAACTCTCACTCATAAGAGGTGATTCTCATGCTTGAGTTCACAATTTGTGCTGGTGATGCTCAGACTTTGAAACACTTCAGAACATTTAGGATCATATGACGATTCAAATCTCCTTTAGAGCATTAAATAAGCACTCTGTGTGTGATTATTTACAGGAATAGTCTTTGCACCATATGGCCCAGTCTGGAAACAACAAAGGAGATTTTCGCTCTTAACTCTGAGACACTTTGGTTTGGGGAAACTTGACCTAGAGCCCCACATCATCAAAGAACTGCACTTTGTGAAGTCCGAAATTTCTAATGCCTCAGGAGCAGCCTTCTGTCCTTCTCACGTGATAAATAACGCCGTGTCCAACATCATTTGCTCCATGTGCTTCGGAAAACGTTTCAACTACGATGATGAGGAATTCAAAACATTGCTGAGACTGATCGTCCGAGGGATGAAGTTGGCATCAAACAGCCCAGCGATGCTCATTAATGTCTTCCCTTTACTTAAGTATTTACCGTTTGGCCCCTTCAAGAAGTGACTCAAGCTGTGAGAGATGTCACTGCGTTTCTGAAAAATATCATTGCCCAACACAGAAAAGACAGGGATCCTGAAAACCCACGGGACTTTGTCGATTTTTATTTAAACGAAATAGACCATGAATTGCAACGAAACCCAAATACAAGCTTCAGTGAAGACTATTTATTTTATATTATTGGGGATCTGTTTGTAGCAGGGACTGACACAACATCCAACACTGTGCTCTGGAGCATTCTCTTCATGGCCATGTATCCGGATGTTCAAGGTAAATACTTGGTTAAACAATGGCCTAATAGGTTTCATTGGTATTAGGTTTGGCACGGTTTATTGGGTAGCTTTGAGAAGATTGGCAACATAAATATGTTAATAATAATCCTTGCATTTGATATACAGCCTTAGCACATCTTCGAGACATCTCAAAGCACGCCACAGAATATACTGTAAAGTGAATTGACTATATTTTGTTGGCAAAACGCACATTATGAGAATACTTGTTGATGTGGAATTACTTTTAATCTGAAAAGCTGTGCTTTTTAAAGAGTGTATCTAGCAGTAAGTACCTGAAGGTGGTATAGACCATAGAGCATCAGCACTTCCAGATATTTGGAAATGCTTTGTCTACATGTTAGTATTCCCAAGGCGTTGAAAGGAAAACAAACTGCTTTCTCACACAAAGGGATGGACCATCAGCGAGCAAGCCAGACCTTGGTCACTCGCTCGAATAATTTGGCAGAGGCTCATGAAGTTAAATGCAAGGATTATTATTATATTATTACACTGAGTATGGGATGATTGGTTTTAGGGAACTTTACCATGTGACGGGTGAGATATAGGGGTAGAAAGTCTATCTGGGTCTGGATTTGGGTTGTTAATATTTTGATATTACTGAGGCTGATTCTCCCTCGAAGACTGTGGGGCTTTGAGGACATTTATCTACCTACTCATCACTCGCACTCTCCACACCAGGTCGTGCTTTCAGCCAATACGCCCCAAATCTCTGGAACACTCTCCCTCAATCCCTCCGCCTTGTCCCCTCTCTCTCCTCTTTCAAGTCCCGCCTGAAGACTTTAACGTTCGACCGTTCTTACGGCCACCTCTCCCTGTTCTCCCTCCCCCCATCTCGGAGTCAGGCTCCGCCACTGTTAAGCGCTCTGAGATGCTACCCTGCGTGGAGGGCGCTACACAAGTGCAAGTTGTTGTTGTTGCCTTTATGGCATATCAGGAATAGAGTGATACCGTGAAGCCATACGCCAAATTAATACTGTAAGGTTTCAGCAGCAGTACTGAAACCGAGTCAGATGGAGTGACCTGTAAGTGCCATTCATTCCTCTCTTTCCAGAAAGCGTTTACAAGGAGATCAGTGCTGTTGTCGGCAGGTCCAGACCTCCTTCCCTCAAAGACAAGCCTCAGATGCCCTTCACGGTAGCCACGATAATGGAAATCCAGCGTATGACCACGGTTGTTCCACTTGCCATTCCACACATGGCTTCCGAAACAACTGGTAAGATTGCTCCTCAATTACTGCGGCAGAAGTGGCTATATAAGTGAGATATTCAAGCTTGTCGTGAATGCCGCGCCAGGTTTTAGGTTGAAACGGAAATCATTTTGTACCTTTTTTTTAAAGTTTGTGTTTGTCAGCGGGATGACTGAGCTGCACCACTACGTGTGCGTCACTCTCCTCCTCTCCCTTTCGTCCGTGGGTGCAGGTGCATCTTGTGACTAGTTGAGAGGAGGGAGGCACTGTGCATGTGTGAGAGCGCAAGTATGTGTCAGCACAGCAATGTATGATTTACGGTGACCTAAAGAAAGTTGGATTTATTAAAACAATAAAGGGCACAGGGACAAAGCTCGCAAAATCAGCCACATAGTGTATAAGGAATGTAGAAATGCATTCAAACCCCCAAAATATTTTAATTTGACATGTTTAGGTGATTGGCAAACAACAATGTAATACAGGGTGGCCAAAGGGCTTATTTTTCAGCTACCCTGTTATCTAAAAAAAAATCATAATTTCTTTAAGACTTATTAGACATTGTAATGGTATCGCAACTTTTTGAGCACCCTGTAGTAGGGACTAACTTCAGGCAATATTGCTGATCATAATCTCATGTATCAAATTATTTTCTGTTCATCTTTTTCCCCAGACCTTAAAGGCTACACGATACCCAAAGGGAGCGTAGTGATTGCTAATCTGTGGTCGGTGCACAGAGATCCCACCATGTGGGACCATCCAGAAGAATTTAATCCTTCTCGCTTCTTGGACGCAGATCGAAATATAGTGAAAAACGAAGCATTTATGCCTTTTGGAATAGGTAAGAATGCTTTATATGAGTCTATAGCCTTTCTCAAGTGACAGATTTTTTAAAAAATTGTTTCTTCTATTTTTCCCCCAATTTGGGATCTGAATCCAACATCACCCTATTACTTACAAGCTAAGGGTCAACATTTCAGGGTCTGTTCACAGAAAATGATGCGTTAGCAAAATACAGAATATCTTTCAGGCAAGTAGCTGGACACTTTTATAGTAATATTAAATTGTCCAGCTTCAGAAATGTGTCTACATTACAGCTGTTTGCTATGAATATCAGTAATGGTTTTATTGTAAATGGTATATTCTTACCAAACATCACTAGATTTGATATTACTTTAAAATTTACATTTGACAGGTATATTTGTCACTGAATTATGTTATTAAACAACTCAAAACACACTATGATAATATCTCTTTCAATTCTGAATGCAAGAATCCTATACAACGCTGCAGTTTGTGGCCACCTGAAGACGTTTCACTCCAGTGGAACATTGTAAGATCTTGTGTGTATTTTTTCTACTTTCCTTTACTGTGCCTAGTAACAGATGTGTGACTTGAAAAGGCTGTGGGTTTCCTTTAGCCTTGAGGTCACTACAGAAAAATTAAGTTCAGTTAAGTTCAGTACTGTACTGGATTCATAGCCAATGCTTGCACAGGAGAGGAACCGTATTTGTTCCATTGGCCCTATAAAAGCAAATATTCTACATGTTTATACATTGCTTTGATCTTGTGTTTGTGTTTTTAAACTATTGGTCAGTTCCAAATTTTGTGTGTGTTTGTTATGAAATAGTTTTGAGGTGTATAATGTTGAGTGGCTGTCTTTCTGTAACAGGGAAGCGGGTGTGTATGGGTGAGCAGATGGCAAAGATGGAACTGTTCCTCCTCTTCAGCGGCTTGCTGCAGTCCTTCTCCTTCAAACTTCCCGAAGGCTCCTCAGTGCCAAATATGGACGGCCAGTTTGGCCTCACTCTCTCCCCACATCCTTTCAAAATTATTGCTCTCCAAAGATAATTTATTTTCTTGAAGCAGAACTCGAGTGAGTAACCCTCGTGCTGTGAGCTGCCAAGCCTGTCGGGTGAAACGCAGAACATATTGAATATGCGTAAGACCTAAAAGAATATTTTGTCAAACAGTGTATAATATTCAGAATCTGACGTTGTATTACAAGAGACAGTACTTGGACGTCCGATTTCCTTCAGAAAATTAACTCCTAGATGATACTTCTTTGACTGATTGTTTGGTGTAAGATCCCCATCAGCAATGTGCATCTGTTTGTACTTTGTGCACACTGTCCGACAGTTTACAAACAGATATAGGTCATGTAATGTTACAGTGATCTCTGATTGAGGTTTTCAAAATAATAAAGAGATTCGATAGGGTACCTACAGATAAACTATTTCCTCTGGTAGGGGGAATCCAGAACAAGGGGGCATCATCTTAAACGTAGAGCTAGGCCATTTAGGAGTGAAATTAGGAGGCAGTTTTTCACCCAAAGGGCAGTGGAAATCTAGTACTCTCTCCCCCAAAAAGATCCATTCACATCTTCAAGACGGAAGTAGATAAATATTTGTTAGATCAGGGTATTAAGGGATACGGGTCAAGGGGGTAATTGGACTTGAGGTACAGATCAACCATAATCTTATAAAATGGCGGAACAGGCTCGAGGGGCTGAATGGCCTGCTCCTGTTTCTATGTTTCTAATGCTACTGCCGAGCCTTCAGCTCCCCTCTCGACTCTCTTCCCCCTCCTCGCTCCCTCGTTTCCCTCCCCTCACCATTTCCCCCCTCCTCGCTCCCTCCCCTCACCCTGACCATTTCCCCCCTGCTCGGGTCATGACCCAACTGTGCAGCGCCTTGGGACGTCCTCCTGACGTGAAAGGCGCTTTATAAATGGAATGTTGTTGTTGTTGTTGTTGAACATAAATCCAAGATCAACTCCTGCTTACAAACTATGGCCACCAGGGGGCACAACTTCTCTGCACTTACAAAGGAAGTTGGTTGTCCGCCATCCCACCAGGTTGTTCTAAAATATAAGAATGACTTTTCTTCTCTCCCGATATTTGCACTGCTTGGAAGGCAGCACTATCTCTACATTTATTATTCAAAAAGGCACCACATGGCCTTACTGGTCATCGCTCATAAAGATCTCTTCCCGCCCCCACCGCCCCGCACACACACTTCCATGTTCTATATTTTAGAATGAACCTACACTGCACTTTATAGCTCTAATATCTTCTAAAATAATGTCACTTAGAAAATGTAGTCAATCCCCTTTGCAATATATTCTGTGAAGCGCTTTGAGACATCTCAACAATGTGATAAGGCGCTATATCAAATGTAGGAATTAGTATTATTATATCCTTTCTGTAATGTAGAGCCGAAACTGCACTCAATTCTCCAGCTGGAGCCTAACTAATGTCTTAAACAGATCCAACAGATATTTTCTAGGAAGCAACTGAGACGAGGTGAAATTGATGGCAGGACTGACTGTGATCTGATCTCTGTGTGGGCAGTGCATCTTACAGACTGTTTTTTGCTTATTAAATTAAGAATAGATCCTGTGGGACACTCGCCTGGCTCCAGTCTTAACAACTAACTTTTGATTTATTTGAAGTTGAAGTACTTGCTCCTTAAACTTTAGCTGTCGACACTGGTAGACACGTTCAGTTCTGAATCGATCTTCACTTATTTTTATGTATATTTATGTATGTGTATCAAGTATGAATGGAGGGATATTGAAATTGACTAATATATTGTATAATGAATGATTTCCTGCTTGTCTGTAATTCTCCCTTTTTTTAAATCCAGATGTATTATTTTTGATTTTACAGGGTGTCATTTGCTTTAAAAATATTTTGCGAAATAATATGCTACAAATAAGTTGTTTCCCTCCTCAAACACCACTGTTACTGTATTATTTACAATCACTAGTTTCGTTTCCTCTCAGGAAAACTAGAGGGTTCCTTCGGTGTCCTTTGTTAATGAGCATCACTTAGTACAGCTTATCTGCTCAGAAGAAGCCAAATATGACCGACAAGAAAGACATTTTGCCCTCTGCATTGCAGCAACTCTTGTCTTTGTCTATGGCTTTGTGTGGTTTTGGCTGAATGGCCACCTCCTCCCCCTCATTTCATAGTAGTAAAGTTACTCAACAGCAAGAATAGCTTTAACATTAACCCTAACAATCGAACAGCATTAAAACATAATCTAAAACAACATAAAACTATGTTCAACCTTCCACTTGCGCTCATTTTACCATCCCTTTTCGGTTTCATTTCACATTTCTATATGGTTGCAATGATAATATTGTGGCAAAGTTGAATGTTTTTAAGCTTTAGGATATTTGAATAAAGTGCTGGCACAAATTTGTTTGTAGTAACGGAGATGCATTATTATTTTATTTTAAGTCCGTTACATTTTTGTTGCATCTGTATTCATTTGGAAAACAATAAAAGGCTAAACCAGTACTTGACTGACTGATGCAAAAGGATATACAGAAGAAACGTAACCTCTCTTCCAAGTGTAAATATCTTGAACTGCAGCAATGGCCACTTGAGAAGTATGGGAAACGAAAGAGAAGTGAAAGAAAGACACTTGAAGGCGAAGCAAAGGTATGGTACGCAAAGAAATAAATTGTGAAACAAAAACAAAATTAAGGAAAGAAGCAAGGACTAGGAAGAGGGAACCATGTGGAGAGTAAATGCTTCTGAAAATTGCAGGACACTATAATATACAACCTTTTTGTGATTTACACGCTGCCCACAAGACTTTACAAGATTGCACTCGTCACCAACAACATTCTCTGTCTGTGACCAGGTCTTTCTCTGCCTCTTTGTTCTTCTTGACCTCTCTGCTGCCTTCGACATCTCCATCCTAGCCTGGCTCCTCACCTTTTTAATCTTTCACAAGGTACGTTCAGGTGGATGTTAATGATATTATTGAACTATGACGAGAGAAAACGTTTCTCCTCAGGTCCTGTCCATAGTCAAGGACACGATGGTTGAGGATAAATGGACATCCTTAAAACACATTATGCAGAACAAGTCAAATAAAAATTGGTCATTCCCTTCAAGGCTGCTTGTGGAACATTACTGGGTGCAAATTGGCTGCCATGTTCGCCTACAAAATACACAGTGACTTGTTATAAATTTTTGTTTCTATTGTTTATTGTATTTGAAATCCTGCAAACTTTGGGAAATAGGATGCATCCTCGAGCAGAAACATGCTAAGATAACTTCAAATATAAAGAACATAAAAGGTGCAGATTATTTTGTTACTGAATTCTAACATATAATTTTTCCAATAAGTGTCTCTTCTCTATAACCCTTCAAAGAGGTAATAAAACTATTTAAATTAGCTATGCAGTAATTACAATCCATATTTCATACTTGAATGCTTTGTAGGTTAGAACATCTTTTATGTGCAAAATACTATGATTAGTGGATTCCATTTAATTACATAATTAAACACAACTTTTTAGGTTTTTAGTAATCTTTCCTTCCCCCTCAGGAGACAGACTGTAGCTGTCAACAGCTTATGAGTATTTCAGTAAAATATAGCACTTCAGTGGGTCCATCAGAGTTTGCATATAACTTCAGGGAAGTGGTAAAATATTACTTCAAACAATACCAAATTTGACTTTCATGGGTATTATTAAATTGCAAAGTAGTTACATTAACTGTGTTGTTGTTGCACTGAATGGACCCAGATTGGTTTCAGATCGATCCCTGGTCAGTGCTCCCTAATTATTAAGGGTATTTTGCCTCAACTACGCCTCCCACCAGAGTATTCCGTATCCTCACTACTCTATGCGTATAAAAAATTCTCCTAACTTTCCCATTCTTGGCTGCCATACTAGAAATAACCTGGAGGACAGACATAGTCAGAATGAGGTAAGCTGTCTCACTTCTGTTAGGTAGTTAAGGGTCTGTTTGAAGGTTTTCTCTTGAGATTTGTTCGATTAAAACGCTGCTTAAAATAATTCTATGTTCCTTCTGCAATTTGTCTTCTCTGATCTCCGCTGCGTTGCCATGGGATAGCAACAGGAGCGTCCAGATGTCTGTTCATAGCAGCGAGCTCTCTATCTGTGTTTAAGTTCCGCTTTAAAACTCAACACTTGAACTGCATCTATGGCTGTGTCCCACTTATATCGGACTCGAGATACAGATTAGAACTTTAAACTCACATAGTTTCAGCTGACGCTCCCATACTGTGGCTGGGGATGTTGCCTTCCTGGAGGTGCTGTCCTTCAGAAGAGCTATTAAACCAAGGTCCTGTCTGCCTGTTCCAGTGGACATTAATGATCCCACGGCGCTGTTCGAAGAGAGGAAGGAGTTTCTTCCGGTGTCCTTGCCAGTAATCCCCCAAATAAAATCAGTCACTCGTTCATTTCATCACTGTTTGTGAGCCGTTGCTGCGCACAAGTGGGCTGCCCTATCCACATACAAACACACAGTCACTCCACTTCGCAATATATTCTGCGAAACATTTTGCCACATTTTCCTGATGTGAAAGGTTATATATCACGTGTAAAAGTTATTATTTACTCCCCCGGGTTACATTTATGGATTTATGTCCTCAAATTCTCTGCCAGAGCATTCAACAACTTCAACAACAACAACTTGCACTTATGTAGCGCTCTCCACCCTGGATAGCATCTCAGAGGTTTTAATGATTTTTTTCAAACCCTTTCATTACCACTCTTACCTTATAAACACCTCTCAACTTTCTCTGCTCCATAAGATCTCTCATCTCTCTTCATAGCAATACCTTTCATCTCTGGTATCACCTTGTGAACCTCGATGACACCCTTTCCATAGCTCTAATTCTGAAGCTGCAGTCTAACCAATGGTCTTTTTTTTACCTTTGTATTCAGTGGCTTTATATAGAAAACACAGAATTCTGGTTGCCTTTTCAACAGCCTTCTCTACCGGCAATAGTGTTTTAATGATCTACACAAATCTGCGGTTCCAAGTCCCTCTGTTCCTCAACTGTGCGCAATTGGCTACCGCGTTTCGCCCACAAATTATACAGTCAATTCATTTTACAGTATATCCTATGAAGCGCTTCGAAGGTGTGATAAGTCGCTATATCAAACGCAAGGATTATTATTAGTTGATATAACTCCATTGAGAATTCTACTACTCGGGGCATATTTCCACTCCCTGCTCTTTCTCTCGTCGCTTTTCTATATTGAAGTTATTTGGACAGTCAAGCCACTCCGCTAACCTGTCAAAATCTGCCTGTTAGCTCCTGCGCTTTCAGTCACTACATCCTGATTTAGCAACTCTTAACAATAATTCCTGAACAAGGTGAGTATGGATCCACACAAGACATTTTTTTGTTTTTTTTCTTAGAATTCTGAATGTATGAATTGTCTAAAC